CAAGGAGGGCTGCTCCACCTGGCGGCTCTAGAAGCCACAAGACATCTTTCCCTCTGGCTCAATGTTCCCTTAATGATGATGACGACCATCGCGATATAGCGGTGGACATATTTGGAGCGCTGTCTCTGCACCAGGCACCGGCAGCCCTTCACAACGACAGGTAATTCATTAAAAGGGCCTCCGCAGCCGGAAGAGGTGACGGAGGGCGTTGGAGTCGCGGAGTTGCTTTACCTCCCGGACACGCAGCTCACTCACTCACCCCCTTTCCCGGGCGCGCGCTGCGGCACCTGCTCCAAGCTCCAAGGCCTTTGCCTTCCGGGATGGGGGCGGGGTGGGAGGGGAGGTGCGCGCCCCGCGGCTTCAGGCCAGGAAGCGGTGTGGAGCGGGCGGCCGCCTCCAGTCCCCGCCCGGGCCAGCGGGAGGGGCCGCGGGCGGCGCGCGGAGCAGAGCGTAGGACGACCGGCCGGCGCTAGGACCCGCGGGGGCCTCCCAGGCCGCAGTCTCCGGCTCCCCCCACCCCAGCCCACCTCACCCCGCCCAAAATGAGGAAACGGAGGAACTTGCTCCAAGTTGTGCTGCCAGGGCCGCCTGGGGGTGCGCAGCCAGGGCGCCGGGGCCTTCGTGGGGGCGGGGGCGGGGCGCGGCCCGGAGACTCCCTCTGAGCAGGTGAGCGGGCGGCGGGGATGTGGGTGAGACCGCGGGGGTATGGAGGGCTCCCGGGAGGCCTGGGCGTGCACCCCAGGGACCGGTGTGGTGTGCGCACGAGTGTGCGCGTCCGGGGCGCGCGGCGGGTCGAGGCTGGGGCGGCGGTGGTCCGAGGCGATCCGGGGCGGGTGCGGGGTATTTTCCTGGGTGTAGGGTGTGCGCGTCTGGGAGCCCCTGGTGTGTGTATCCGCGCGTCCACGTGGAGGGATGTGCGCGTGTGACAGATGCTTGTGCACGGCCTTGCGTGTAGCTCTGTCCGGGTGGCCCAACGTATGGTGCCCAGGTGTTCAAGTGTGTGTGTTTGGGGGTGGGGAGGGGCGGGAGGGAGACACAGATACGTTTCCAGATGTCTGAGCACCTGTGTGTGTGTACACATTTGTAGACGCGTGTGTACACCTGTCCCTAGGGGGGACGTGCCCTGGCTTGCATACCTGCGGGTCTGTGGGTACCTGTGTCCACGCCTCGTGTGTTTCTCTGTGTGTTTGTGTGTACATGGATCAGTATGTGTGTGAGGACATGTAGGGCTGGGTATTTACGGGGTTGCACACTGGAGGAGCAGAGACTTACCCTGGAACCCGCCCCACGGGCCCAGCCACCTGTGGTGGGGTTGAAGGGCGAGGTAGGGGTGGGAAAATCCTCACCCAAGCAGCAATGAGGGACTGGGGGTGGGGTAGAGGGATTAGAGAGGTCCAGCTGGCCAGCCCCGCGAGCTCAGCGGGGCTGCACTGTCCCACTGTAGGCTCAGAGTTTCTTGACAATGACCTTGAATCATTCCGTATTTCCCTGCCCTGCTCTTCCAGAAAAGAGGAAGAACCAGGCGCGATGAGGTGGCACCGGGCTCCCCAGGCGCCGTGTGGGCTGCGGGGGCCTGAACCAGGCGTGTCCCTCCTCCCCAGCCTGTGGCCACTTGCTCTGTGCCCATGCTGGTCCTCAGTTTCCTTTGGGAACAATGGTAGGGCTAGGCTCCCGGTTTCTTCACTGATGTTTAATGGCTTTGACTCAGCTAAGGAACACCCCTCGGTAAAGACCACCTTCCCAGAGGGGCCTGGAGAACCAGTATTTGTAACTCCCCCACCCCCATGCCTCTGGCTGTTGCCTCCACCCGGCCTGGCTGGCAGCGGTAGCGATGGCCCCCGAGCCCCAGCCTGGCTTGCATCTGCCCTCCAGCTGGTCTCTGCCCCCTCTCCAGGTGAACCCTGGCTTTCTCCAGGCCTGGCATTCCGGCCCATCTCAGTCAGGATGCCCACAGTGAGTACCCCCAACCTGGACGCCTGTATCCCTGGCCCTTGCTCAGCTCAGTCCACGTCCACAGGCCCTCAACTCCATGGGGAGGGAGGGTGTACTCTGACCCACGCCCCCTTTAGCTGATGTCTTCTGGCTTTTCTGTCATTTGGTGTTGCATTTCCTTCACCTTTTCTTCCTGACCTGTCCTGGGTGCCCTCCATTTGTGACTAATCTATCTCTGCTGGCTGCTCCCTTGTCTTACCTCCTCTTCTCCCTCTCTCTTCTGTCTCAATCCAATCTTCCTCTCCCTGGGGCATCTCCTTCATGTCACCTTGGCCCTCTTCCCTATGCCTCCCACCCAGAGGCGCTGGGCCCCAGGCACCCAATGCATCACCAAGTGTGAGCACACGCGCCCGAAGCCTGGAGAGCTGGCCTTCCACAAGGGCGACATGGTCACCATCCTGGAGGCTTGTGAGGTGAGCTGTGGCCAGAGGGCCTGGAGATGGGACTCAGTCAGGAACCCCCCCATTCTCCTCCCCCCGATGCCGACCCCTGTCTCCCTCCCTGGCAGAGCAAGAGCTGGTACCGAGCCAAGCACCACGCCAGCGGGCAGGAGGGGCTGCTGGCGGCGGGTGCGCTGCGGGAGCGTGAGGCCCTCTCAGCGGATCCCAAGCTCAGCCTCATGCCGTGAGTGGTGGGGTTGGCCCAGGGATGAGGGATCCGGAGGGCCCGGCCCGCCCGGCCCAACCCGCCCTCCCGCCACTGCAGGTGGTTCCACGGGAAGATCTCGGGCCAGGAGGCGGTGCAGCTGTTGCAGCCGCCCGAGGATGGGCTGTTCTTGGTGCGGGAGTCGGTGCGGCATCCCGGGGACTACGTGCTCTGCGTGAGCTTCCACCGCGAAGTCATCCACTACCGCGTTCTGCACCGTGATGGCCACCTGACCATCGACGAGACCATCTGCTTTTGCAACCTCATGGATATGGTAGAGGTGCAGCTCGGACAGGAGTCGCGTGTTCCCCAGGCCCCGCCCCATCCCAGCAGCTGGATGGACATGGGGACCCCCAGAGCCACATGCTCCCCAGTGCAAGAAGGAGCTGGTCCTCATGGACCACCAACCATATAGGTGGTCTGAGCTCTCTGGGTTCCACTTCCAGGGACTGGATGGCTCCTCCGGGGACCTCCAGGAACCTCCAGGTTGACACCAATCCAGAAACACCCCTGCCATTCTCCCCTTCCCCCCTAGTTTGCACCTTTCCTATTCCCATGGAAACCAGCCCAACACATCATGTGGGAACCAAACCCCTCTCCTCATCGGCTCATGCCCACCCTATCCAGAGCCCACCCCCCGGAAGGGAACAGGATGAGGGATGCCCCTTGGCACATGCTGGTCCCTGGGGTTGGACTCACAACCACCTCTGCCCCACCCCACCCTGCAGCATTACAGCAAGGACAAGGGGGCCATCTGCACGAAACTCGTGAAACCCAAGAGGAAGCAGGGGGCTAAATCGGCGGAGGAAGAGCTGGCCAAGGGTAGGGGCCTGCGCCCTCTCTGCCCATGTTCGCCCTGCCCATGTTGTGAGTGGGTTTCCACATCTGCTGCTTCTCCCACGTCCCCATCATCTGCCCTGTCACTTGAGCCAGAAACCTGGACCAAACCTCAACCCACCTACCCTCCCACATCCCCTTCATGCCCCCTCCTGGCCTCTCAGACCCTCCCATCAGACCACCTCCTTCCAGGGGGGCAGTCCCCCTTCCTCCTGCCCCCTGCCCCTCTGGTCCCAAAGGCAACTTTCCACCTGCAAGCCCACCCACATCGCTCCCCTGCTTAAAGGAGGGAGGCCCTGCAGCTCCACCGCCTTCCAGAACCTCCCCTTGTGGCTGAGCCTTCTTTCCTACTTCATCTACAGGGCTCCTCCTCCATTCACAAGTCCTCTTGGTTGTGACTCATTTCCTCTCATGCCTCCGTGCTGTTGTGCATTCTGTTCCCTTCAGCTGAAATGCTTTTCCAGCTTCTGTGTAGTGAAATCATCAATACCCAAGTCCCAAAGCAAAGGCTCCCAACTATAGCCACCCCTCGTTTTTTGAACCTCATGATCATGACTGTCTCCTTGGAAGCGTGTATTTCTCCTGGGAAATCTTGGGGATGGCACTTGGGTGGAGGGTGGTGTCGCCACACCCGATCGTGCCTAAGGGCTCCTGATTTGGGTGGGGAGGAGGCCTACATTAGAGGAGAAGAACTCTGGCCTGCCTGAGACAAGAGGTCAGGGAGGCCAGAGCACAGATTATGACTTAGAGCACAGGAATCTTTCTAAGATTCCAGAAGCTTTACTGCTCTCCGTGTCTATTGCATTTTTGCTGTGTGTGTGTGTCCCTGGGAGGCCAGAGGTTAAGAACCGTAAAGGGACCAGCCCTTGTGGTGTTTAAAGGGACCCATCTCCAGGTAGGAGAGACGGGCAGCCCTGAAGGGTAGGCTGTTGCCTTTGACCACATAACTGGTATCAGGAGTGGGGTGTGTCAGCCATGCCCTTTGGACCATTACTGGGAATAGCAGCCACCCAAATGTGTGCCCACAGCTGGGTGCTGTGGGAGACACCATCTGGTCTCTGCAGGTGGCGCCCCCGAGGGGAGGGGCTGGGGAAGCCCGTTACCTCTCTGACCGGGCCTTTGCCCCACAGCTGGCTGGTTACTGGACCTGCAGTATTTGACCTTGGGAGCGCAAATCGGAGAGGGGGAGTTTGGAGGTGAGTAGGGCGTGGCCTGGCGAGCTGAAGGAAGGTGGGGGTTCACGTTTTGGAGTCACAGACATGAATTCACATCCATATTTAATACCTACTTGCTGGGCAGCTGAAGACAGACCACTCCTCTCTCGGAGTCTGTTTCCTCCTCTGTGAAAGGGGGCTGACAACAGCTGTTGTGAAGTAAAGACTCAGGCACACACCCAGCGAGTGCGAGTCCCTCACACCTCCAGCCTCGTGCACATGCTGGTCCTGTGCTTGGAATGCCATTCCCTGAAATGATTATTCTGGAAGGTTCTAGGGCAGTGATGGCGAACCTATGACACACGTGTCAGAGGTGACACGTGAACTCATTTTTTTGGTTGATTTTTCTTTGTTAAATGGCATTTAAATATATAAAATAAATATCAAAAATATAAGTTTTTGTTTTACTATGGTTGCAAATATCAAAAAATTTCTACATGTGACATGGAACCAGAGTTAAGTTAGGGTTTTTCAAAATGCTGACACGCCGAGCTCAAAAGGTTCACCATCACTGCTCTAGGGCTTAGGTCAGGGACCTATGGACTTTCTCTGTAAAGGGCCGAAGTGCAAATATTTTTGGCTTTACAGGCCAGTCTGTCACATCTGCTCAGCTCTGCATTTGTAGCAGGAAAGCCGCCCCAGATGATAGGTAAACCAACAGGAGTGGCTGTGTGCCAATAAAACTTTATTTGTAGACACTGAATTTTTCCCCCTATAATTTTCGTGTGTCATGGAATAACATTTTTTTGATTTTTTTGAACTATTTGAGAATATAAAAACAAACAAGAATATAAAAAGCATTCTGAGCTCATGGGCCTTGCAAAAACACACGATGGGACTGGATTTGGCCCTCGGGACAGAGTTTGCAGACCCCTAGATCCTCTTTGATTAGGGGTTTAGGGGTTCGGAGCTGGTACGGCCCAGGGGGTTTCCAGGCCTGGGGCCTGAGCTGTGTTGGTGTACATGGGGGTCCATGTGAGTGGCTATGTCCCTTTGTCTGTGTCCATCCCACCCCCAGCCGTCCTGCAGGGCGAGTACCTGGGCCAGAAGGTGGCCGTGAAGAACATCAAGTGCGATGTGACAGCCCAGGCCTTCCTGGATGAGACGGCAGTCATGACGTGAGTCCCCGGTGGGGGTTAGGCACCCTGGGGGTGGGGGTTCCAGCCGCGCCTTCACCCCCTCCTCTGCCTCCCCACAGGAAGCTGCAGCATAAGAACCTGGTGCGTCTGCTGGGCGTGATCCTGCACCAGGGACTCTACATCGTCATGGAGCACGTGAGCAAGGTACGCTAGGGCCGAGATGCAGGTGGGGGTGCAGGTGGGACTTGGAGAGGCAGCCAAGAAGCCTCGAACCCGAGCCCCGTGTCTCCCTCCCCCTCCCCCCCAGGGCAACCTGGTGAACTTTCTACGAACTCGGGGCCGGGCCCTTGTGAACACCCCCCAGCTCCTGCAGTTTTCCCTGTGAGTGGGGCCCCGGTGGGTGGGAAAGGGGCTTTCCAAGGCCAAGGAGAAACGCAGGAAGGAGCCTGGCCCTGGGGGTGTTTGACCGCCCACTGGAGCCCCTGTGCCCCCCTTCCCCAGGCACGTGGCCGAGGGCATGGAGTACCTGGAGAGCAAGAAGCTGGTGCATCGAGACCTTGCTGCCCGCAACATCCTCATCTCTGAGGACCTGGTGGCCAAGGTCAGCGACTTTGGCCTGGTCAAGGCTGAGAGGAAGGGGCTGGACTCCAGCCGACTGCCCGTCAAGTGGACAGCGCCTGAGGCACTCAAACATGGGGTGAGCGCCCCTCTGTCCCCAGGGACCGTGGAGCCCCAGCTCCACAGTGTGACCCTGGGCACGTGTCTTGGCCTCTCTGAACCTCCAAGGGAAATGACTCTGCCTCCCCAGTGAGTACGTGGTCCATCGTTGTTCTTTTTAGTTTCCATCTGGTCTCTCCTGTGTGTGACCCTGTCTGGGCCTGTTTCCCCATTTCTGGGCTCAGTGCTGAGGGCACACAGAACCAGCCCCTCCCTGCACCACATCTGAGCTGCACTTGGTCAAAGGGGCAAGGACTCAGGGAATGGAGTCTGTTAGGAAGAGACCAGAGAGTGCAGGTCAACCCAGGGGGACTTCCTGGAAGAATCGGGGACTGGAGCGGGAACCTTGAAGGGTCCCTCCTCACCCTGGTCTTGGACCCCACAGAAATTCTCCAGCAAGTCCGATGTCTGGAGTTTCGGGGTGCTGCTATGGGAGGTCTTCTCATATGGCCGGGCTCCATACCCCAAGATGGTGAGCATGGCCTGGGTGGGGGAGGCACTGGGT